GGTTTTAACTTTAACAAAGTAAAATTACATATACAAAACAGGTATCAAATAAGAATTTTACAGTTACAACATTTATATTTTCTTTATCTTTTATCATCACTAAGGAAAACTATAATTATAATTATTCTTCAACTCCATCAAAGACTCCAGAAGGATATAATATTACCTAATGCATTGTAAGCAACTTCCAAAACTCTAGAATTGACAGAGACATCTCGCTGCCTGCAAAGTCACCCACAGTTCTTCTGTAACATGGGAGCATCCATCTTCAGCCTACAGGCCCAAAGTATCTAGCAGACTTTTCCATGAAGCAGGAAATTTGAAAGACTATTTTGTCTATATTGGCAGTTTGTCAGTCACTTTCTTCTGTATCCTACAGAATGTCTGGCAGACTCTTTCATGAAACTGGAACCCTGAAGGACTGTCTCATCTTTAGGCAAGTTCAGCAGTCATTTTTCTGTGGGTCCTGCACGTCCAGTTTATACAGGATACTATCAGGAAGTCCAGGCAAAAGTAGTTTCTGGCCCAAAAGGCTAACAAACTCCATAAGAAGCCTCTTCAAGGCCAATTATCCTCTTGAAATAGACTGGTGCCACTAGGAGCAGATGAGTTTCATTGTTAAGAAAAGTCTTAAAACACTTAAATGCCATATTCTGTAGTCTTTGAAAGGTTTGAAGAATACATATTCATCTGAAATATATATATCTGTATATCTAGAAAACATAACTAAAATGTCTACAAGCTTGACTATTATAGATAACTATCTATTAGCCTGTATTTTTAAACTATACATTTTTTAAATGAGCTGCACAAACACAATACCTTAACCAAGAGTAGAAATACGCATATAACAAAATTGACCTTAAATTTGTATCAATAAACCAAGATCCACACCAATGCAAAGTATTCATCTTTATAACATATTGTCCTTTAAATGTAAACAAACATTTATAAACAATCACTTAGGGAGTGATTTCCAGCTGGTTGGGGGCACTGTTAATCAGGTCTTTCATGGGATACGCTGTGTGGTAGATCCTTCACAGCCAGCAGCCCCAAAGCTGTCATGGATGTTGGATCATCTGGGCCATTGCTTCACGGGGTCTTGTTTGATCAAACCACATTAGCAGGTAAGGAACCCACAGTTTTCTATCCTCTGTGGAAACAAAAGCAGAACCTCTTTTTCAAAGCAACATATTCTTAGACTCAAATTTTAAAGTCAAGCTACCTTTATTTTGGTTTAACTTAGCAGCCACCAGAATCAAATATCTCTCTGCAGTCAAAAAAACTCAAAGAAACACAATAATATACACAATACAGACTCTCTGGGTATATTCCACATTTATGTGGCTTATTTTTCTTTACTCCTTTAATCTATGACTTCTGTACTCTTTTATATTACTTTTACTGTCTCTTTAAAGACTTTGCTTTGTTTTTTAAACAACCTATTTCTTTTTATAACTGCCTATACTCTTTTTCTTCCCTCTCCCAAGCTTATGTACATTTATCCAACACTGTGACCCATTCACAGGTCTTTTTTTTTTTTTTTAAAATCTGAATCTGTTTTTATTGAGCATCTGTAATCATTTTCTGACCAGGAACACCTTTTTTTTTTTTTAAAATACTAAGTGGGCATGGCTAGGACCAACTCTGCAGCCCTGCCTGCTTGTTCTGTTTAGTCCAACATAGCAGAGGTATGTTTACCACCTCTGCAAGCTGTGTACACCACCCCAACTCCAGGGACTTAACAGGTCTGTGTTGTGCCATTAAGCAGTTCATAATCTGCTGCTCACAGACCCCATTTAAGTTCAGGACCTTCTGAAAGAGCCAGAGTTTGTGCTAACAGCACAAATCAGGAAGCTGTCATTTTTAAAGAGGTCATGCAGCTTTTTCTGCTAATGCTGAATCAGGAAGCTTTCTCTTAGAGGGGCCGCACCTTTGCTTGCTGCCAGCAGAGTCTAATTGAAAAAACTACGGCTACCAGGAAGCTCCAATTGACTCTAATTTTTGTGGGTCTAGAAGTCCTTTTTTACGTTTTCTGAAGCTTTATGTGAATGTAAGCTGCTGAATGTTTGGGTGCCATTTTGTAGAAGGAGACTGCTTGTTCGTTTCCTGGCTGCCTGGACATGAATAACCACACAGGAACTGTATTAATTACAACATGGCTTGGCCAACAGCTTATGTATATTTCTAGCTAACTCTTAGATCTTAAATTAACCCATTCCTATTATTTTATATTTTACCATGAGGCTAGTGGTTTACAGGTAAGGTTGCCTGGGCATCTGTCTACTTTGGTAGCTACGTGGAATCTCTCTGACTCTGCCTTTGTTTCTCCTCTATCTCTGCTTGGAATTCCTGCCTTGCTCTATTCTGCCCTGCTATAGGCCAAAACAGCTTCTTTATACATTAACCAATAAAAGCAACACATACACAGAAGGATTTCCCACACCAAAACGTGCTTCCCATGCTTCCTGTGGAAGAGCTGGTGTGACCTAATGCTGGGAGCCGTCATCCCAGAGCAAGCCCAAGTCAAAGCAGAGACCTCTGCATATGGGGACTCCATTTCTCTCTCCCTCACATGGAGCATGTGTTGTGCTTGTACCCCACAGGTGAGTCTGCTGATATGGTCCACCTCAGCTGAGACGTGGGTGGCTAAGGATGCAGATGAGCTTATTTACAGCAAAGATGAGATTCATCCATCACATAGAGTCTTAAGCATGTGCTTTGTTGCAGTTCTTTAGAGGCAGAACATATTTTACTGTGGGCTTTGGACCACAGAGCACTGAGTGGGTTCTGAGTGCTGCTTGATCAGGAATATTCAGTGTCGAATTCAATATTGTAGTGATTATTATTTACTGAGAATGGAAGATAACAATGGCTAATATTTATTGAGGTTTACTAGGTATAAGATATTGCACCAAGGATCTAAAATTGTGTATTTTCATTTAGTTGCTATTGACTGGTGCTATTATCAGCCTTTTACAGAAAACCAAGGCATGGAGAAGCATGATAATTTGTCCAGGCTCATGTGATATCTGGTGGAACCTTTTAGATGTGCTCTCTTCTGAGTAGATACTAATTAAATACAGTTCAACTTCCCATTACCTGAAACATAATTAATAAAAACTAAGAGAGAGAAATTGGGGTTCAACCTGAAGGTCAGAAAAACAAAACAGCAACTGGCTCTTACCTTTACCTCAGTTTGAAATAGCTATCCTGCCTCCAGGAATCTCAGAATGAGACTGTGACTGAGACCTGTCTCCTCCAGTTTTATAATTGTTTCTAGGGCTGGGATTAAAGGTGTGCACACTGGGGTTAAAGGCATGCACCACCCGGTTCCAATGGCAGCTAGTGTAGCTATTGGGATTAAAGGTGTGTGTTATCACTGCCTGGTCTGTAAGGCTGACCAGTGGGGCTGTTTTACTCTCTGATCTTCAGGCATGCTTTAGTTATTAAAATACAAATGAAATGCCACTACAATTAGCTAGTGAAATTAGGGTCTGAGCTTAAATTTGCCACCTCACTTACTGTCAGAGAAATAGTCACTGTGCAAAACTAAAGTCCTTGAGGAGCATTCCAATCAACATTTCACACCAGACAGAAGTAAGAGTAGCAGATGCAACTCACAGTGTTTTTATACCCAGTGGATTGCCATGCTTCTAGAAAGAACACATGTGTGCACAATACACACATACATACATAAACACACATACATATACAAACACACATACACACAGCACACACAGTGTACATATGCAACATACACAAACACACACATTCACACATATGCACACACATATACACACATACTCATACAAACATACACATATATACACATACACAACACACACACACACACCACTATCTAAATAGCAGAATGAAGATCCAGTCCCTGTATGTCACCATGCATCTACCCCATCTTCTTGTTCTCAGTATGACTCTCTCTGTATCCCTTCTGTTCTACAGTCCCTGCCCTTGGACTGACCTCAGACTCCCGCTTCTCCTGCCTTGACTTGCTCTGTTGAGGCTCCTGCTTTGGATTGGCTCCAGGCACCATGTTCTCCCGTGTGACTCACTCCTTCTCCAGGTTCCCACCTCTTCATCCTAAGCTTTTCTACTCCTGTTCAGCCCTCTGGGGCTTCTGGCTGTGGCTCTCAGGCTCAGCCCTGTCCAGGCAGCTCGCCACCCTGGGGCTGACCCTAATAGTCCTCTAGCTTCCAGTTCGCCACACCAACGACTTGACTCTTCCAGACTCCAGAAGACCCAACTTCCCTCCCTTTCCCTCAACCCATTGTGTGGGTTGGGACCTGGCAAGCTTTGAAGGTGTCGGGGGATAAGCTTGGAGGAGGTGGGAAAGTTAGCTAGCTCAGTTTGTTTCCCACGACCATGGAGTAGTTCCTCAACTAGGGGGTAACCCTGGCAGAGGTCATGGGAAGCCTAGAGCTATTTATGGTTTTAAGATGCGGGGGAAACTATAATAAAAGGGTGTGGTGGTAAGTCAGGAGAGGGGAAAACATAGGGGCTAGGTATGATTGGTCCCCTAAGTATGCAAGTCTCCCAACAGCTTAGATCCTAGCAGAAAACACTAAGCTGTTTAAGAAATGAATGGGGGCTGGACAGAAGGCTCAGTGGTTAAGAGCATTGCCTGCTCTTCTAAAGGTCCTGAGTTCAATTCCCAGCAACCACATGGTGGCTCACAACCATCTGTAATGAGGTCTGGTGCCCTCTTCTGGCCTGCAGACATACACACAGACAGAATATTGTATACATAATAAATAAATAAATATTAAAAAAAAAAAAAGAATGGGCTATCCCCCTAGTGAGCAGGGTACAAGGACTAGAAAGCAGTTCCTGAAGTCTGACTGGAAAGGACAATGTATTTGGTCTTCCTTTCCTCCTAAGTTTTTTTGTTTAAATGGTGAGTAGAATGGGACAAATGTCACACAGAAGGGGTGACCAGCTGTCCTACTGCCTCTTTCCTTATGGCAAGTGTCTTCATCTTGGCCATCCTCAGCTTTTGGGCCCATTTCCATGGGACAAAGAATTAAAAGGATGATGTTGTTAATGAATAAAGATCTAGGACCTAGGATCCAAAGGAAGGTGATGATGAATGATTTCAGTAGAAAAAAAATGAATCTACTTTATGGGGGGAATAAAAAGGGTCATGGGGGACATGTTGGGGATGATTGGCAGGGGGTTAATAGGAAACCACAAAGTGTTGTGTAAACTTACCTCGGGCCGATGATAGCTAGATCTCAGTGCCTAATCTACTGCATAAGAACAGATGCACCCAGGAGCATCCTTTCCCTACAGTTCAGCTATTTATCCAATCCCTATGGATGTTACAGCCCCTGCATTTGGGCATGGCAAAAAAGGAGACTTAGAGGACAACAGAGGACCGGACATCCTAATACAGAGGGTACAGGTCAGAAAGAGCAATGTGTTTGGAGTTCAAATCTTAATTTTACCATTTGGGCAAGCCTCTTTATTCTTCCATTTCCCTAAGACAAAAAAAAAATTAGCTACCTTGTGGGATTACATGAGAGCATCTATGCATGTAATATTCTTGGCAGAGGGTTTCATTCATATGAAGTGCTGTAAAAAGAGGCAGGTAATATAGTCATTATGAAGAGGGTGATGAATCAGGGTTAATAGTTTCCTTTGTCTTCAGCCACAGAGACCTTCTTTAATCTTTTACTTTCCCCAAACCCTGGTCCTTCTGCAGATGCTGGGAATTGCCAGGAACTCATAGCCACAGGCAGAGGCTTGCGTCCTCTTTTTCCTATACCACCTCCATCCAGTGCACTGGACGCGAGGGTCTCCTTTGCTGTGCCCGGGGCAGACAGCGACACCCAGCCTAACCAGGAACTCCTGATGAGCCACTCAGCAAAGCCAGGCTCTTCTTCCACCTGAGTTGGGGGAGAAAGTGTCCTTGCTGTCAATGGCACATGAGAAGGACAGATTGCCAAGTAGCTCCGTATCATCTCCTGCTGGGCTACCAAGCACCATATAATGCATGGCCTCTTAAGCATTAGGGTTATTGAACAGAAAACTCATTTGGAAAAGGCCTGATTCCGAGCTTGTTACTTGATACTCCTCTAATGGGAAATACTTAAAGTGCATTTACTGGAAGCGAAGCGTTGCCATTCCGTGGCTCACTTGGACCACACTGATTAAAACCGGTTCGAGGGCTGCACATGCTTGTGGTGAGTGAGTGATCTATTTTGATTGATCTGTTTTCTGTCTGGTAATGTCCAGCCCAGCCTCTGCTATCTATATGTGAAAGGAAGGGGGGGGGTGCGAGCACTTTGGAAGCAATTCACACTGGAATCAAATGAACTTAAGGAGTTGATCCAGGTCAATAAATATGCTTGAACATGTTTATTTCAACGTGCGTTCAAGTATGGCCATATTTACAGTTTGGCTGAAATGGGTTATAATTGAAAAGGGATGACTATCTCTCTGAACACTGATTGTTTTCTCATGTTTGTACAAATTGAACGTATTTACAGAACCTCAGTTACGGGGATGCAGCAACATCTTTCCCGATTTTCCTGGGAACTGAGCTCTCTTTGAGGATTTTCCAGATAATTGAGGCTTATTCCGTTTAAGAGAAATGTTACTCATTTAAGTGAAGATCTTTCTTGGAACAGAGGGCATATTTCTCAGATTTCCTGCACACTGATCTTCAATTCAAGTTAATCTTCCTTTTAAAATAGATTGGGGAGGAAGTCTGTGTGTACTTGGCTCACGTGTAGAGGCCAGAGGACAGCTTTTGGAAGCCATTCCTCTTTCACCAAGTGGGTTCAGGAACTGAATTCAAGTAAGCCATCTTGCCAGCCCTAATGCAACCCTTTGTTGTTGTTGAACCTTTGAGTGTTAAAGATGGTAGCCTCTGTAGCAACCAGGGCTTTCTGAAGTGTGTGTGATCAGTGTCCCTAATCAACGGCACTGCAGAGTGGCACCTTTGTGGTTCTTGGCCTTAGGTTCTAGAAGATTCTCTTTTTCTTCTTTGGGTTCATTCTGTTCCTGTAATTTCTTGCTGCCATCCGCAGGCCAACTTTTATGCTTTTTTGTCTTGAGTTTGTCATTCATTCCTACTCAATTTTGGATGGAGACACCAGATAGACACTCTTAGCAACATTTTAAGCAAAGCCAGAACAAATAGTCTCAGAGTGAGGTCTCCCTAGGAATAAAATATTTATTCTTCAGTAAATTGACTCTGTGAGACCTGTTTTGGCTAGCCTAGTGGCATTGTGGGTTTGTTTTGGTGTTTTACCAAAAGTGTACCAGATAGGAGAAGTTGACAGAGATCCGAAATGAGTTGGTGCTGTTCTTTTGGAAATGTAATCCGACCTTTAAACATATCTTCTTGTGTGTCCATTAGCTCCAGATGCAAGTAGTGAGTTTTTCTAATCAGTAGTATCCACATTAATCTCTGCCCTGATTCCCTAAGGATAGCACTTTGATCTACAACCATACAGCTAGTGGCTTATACAGAGGAGACCCCAGAATTCACCAGAGATGTATTTTGAAGCCTTGATGAAGTTACAATGCTGCCAACATTATTATAAAGTGAGAGTCCTCCATGCTACCTAACCAAGTGTGATCAAAAACATCCGAGTACTCTTGATAATTCTATAAATACAGGACTTAAGTTACTTATGAACCTAGTTAAAATTTCCTTAGGGCAATTTCTTACAAAGATATAAAGTCATATTATTTATTCAACAGTCCTCCATGCAATCTGCTAGAGGAAAACATGGCCTGACTTTGACGTGGATGTTGTGTGTTTCCTTGGGTTCTGATAATCACCAAAGTGATTCCTTCCACACATGAAGCTTCTGCCTGGGATGATTCAAGTGACCACCATGGTCCAAGAGTGACATCTCTGCATGCCACACGTGCATGCAAATGAATGGCCTGGAGTGTTCACATACACTCCTGAAAGTTTCTGTTGGCCTTCCTATCCTTACCTCTTTCGAACATAGCTTTCCATACACCGCTCATGGAGATAACATGGAATCTCATTCATATGCCATTCTTGTGTCCAGTTTTCTGCACACTGGTAAAACTATGAGTGTGTCCTGGTTAGGACGACATGACAGAGGTCCCCAGCCCCCTTTTGTCCTTTTTCTTCAGCCTAAAACATGTGCGAGATGTTTCTCAACCATGAACATAAAGAAATCCCAAATTAGATGATACGATAGCATGGCAGAATTGGAGCTGTGTGGAGTTCCCCATGCTTTTCACTCGGCCAGTTCTTTAGAATGTTCTATTACTTGCAGCTGACTTGTACTCCTGACCAACGCTGGCTACAATCTTTATCATAGTTTATTTAACTTCATAATGGAGAATTCATCTAAGTTCTTCTCTCAGAGACATTTTCCCTGTTACACACATGGGAATACCTGGGCACAGTGGTGTATACCTCTAATCCTGAAGAAGCTGCAGCAGGAAGGCAAAGCCGAGGCCAGCCACAGCTACCTAGCAAGGCACTGTCACAAATGAACCAAAGTTGGGGTGGGGGAAGACAAGATATAGATTTCTATCTACAATATCTTCTTCCCATATCCAAATGAACTGTACAACCTCACTCTGTTATCTTTCCATAATTTGAAGAGGAAAACTCTTGACTATTTCCAAATGTACCCATGCCCCGGTTGTATTTCTACAGGAATGCCCATTTTCATTTTTCCTTCCAGGAAAGACGAAGATGGCTACATCAGACTGGCTAAATATATTGGTATATTTTCTTATTTTACTTTATTTTTTTCTCTATATCTCAGAACTGGAAAGAAAGTAGGGAATGATGCGTATGCTGGAAATACGGAGGCTTCATACCCTGTCCAGACAGAACATCGGAATGACATTCTGGGTCAATATTACCTCAACTTTCCAAGAAAAAAGAGAAAACAAAGAATAAAGAAAGGAAAGTATTTGAAGTCAAATGTGGTGGTCATGGTCATGCCCTTTAGAAATGGAGGCAGCCTAATAAAAAAACTTTTGTAGGTTACATCATGGTGAACTCAAGACCAGTCTGGGCTAAAGAAGGAAACTTGGGGAAGGGAGAGAGAGAGAGAGAGAGAGAGAGAGAGAGAGGTATAGATGTTGGTAATTGGTGCTTGTCCTCTTTATAACTGTGTGTGTGTCTGGGGACAGGCTTGGGGCAGTATGCATCTTTTACCATGTCCACATAGAAGACCGCCGAACTTGCACAGTGGAGAATACCAGGAAACTATGACTCCATCTTTAAATCTTACCTCAGAAGATCCGCTCTAGGCAACCAGAAGCAAGGAACAGCTTATATTTTTTCATGCATTTAAGGACACCCTCCAATGGCTGACACAGCCGGCTTGCCTTGTCTCCTGGTCTTTGTAGGAGATGTCCAACAGACCGTGGTCTCCTGGTGCTAAGGAGAGAATTAGCAGAGAGCACACCACCCCGAGAAATAGCAAAGAAAAAAGTGCAAGAAAAACTGCAAAGCTATAGAATAAACCATAGCATAAACTCCGGTGCAACAGAAGTGACTGTTCACGTGACTTAGTAACCTGCTGAACCAGCAACCACAGACTATAAACACAGGAAAGGGCGCTGCACAAACTGTAGACACATATCCTGAGGGAATGAGAAGCCGTGTTGCTGTTACTCAGGAACCACCAGGCAGGTTGTGCTCTTGTGAGTCTCGCATGGGAGGAGGCATCACCAGGGCTGGGAATCCCAGTTACTCAGCATAAACACAGCGCATCTTCTCACATCAGACAACTTGAACCTTGACTGTCTTTCCTGAGACAAAGGGGGATGCATCATCTCGGCATGAATTGTTTATTTGTGTTCACATGGTATATTTCATGGCAGCTTAGTGAAAATGGAGACCCGTGGAGGCTGAGAACATGCCAGCTATGTTTGCTAAACGTTCACATGACGGTAATGAATGCAGGCTTACTGAGCTGTGACGATGTTGAGGAAGATGAATTACCAAGCGCCTCGGCATATTTAACGACCCTGGGATGCTAACAGGGCCAGAAAGTTAAATTTAATACTCTACACTGAGAAAGCTGCCAAGTGCCCAAAGAATGTGGAGCAAAGGAGCCACTGATCTTTTGACAAACCTCCAAACTTGACCGACAGCATGTGCTCGCTGGATTCCTCAAGTGTCACCAGGCCGAGAGCCGAATTTTCTAGATTCATTTCATACCTGTGATAGCTCCCCAGAACGAATCGTTCTTGCCTTTTTGTTTGGTGCACCGTAGTCATGGATGCTAGGACAAGCAGATTAATAAGATGGGATAAAAGCCAGAAATGGGCAGGGCAGCTGTTGGAAGTATTATGTGCCCAGTCCAGCTGACCTCAGAAACTGTCGCTCTGAATGACCAATAGAGAAATGAAGAAAGGTTCAAGTCCATGCTCAGCTAGGTACAGGATACCATGAGGAGGCCCAAGAACCATGTGTGGTCTGTGTTTGACCCCACGAGGCCTACAACAGGAACACTTTCAGTCTTTAGAGGCAGGTACCTCTTTTCAGGCCCATCACATCGCGTGTTTTGAGTTGTGGGAACTTGGGCTATAATGCAATGTCTTTGAACTTCAGCATCCTTGTACACAGGAAAGAACTGGAGTCTCTCCATGCAGGAAGTTCCTGCAGACCTCAGTGGGACCACACAGACGGATGCTTAGATGAACTGTCTCATCAGAGGCCTTACACAGCAAGGCAGACTGATATTTTAATGGTGATGACAAGCAGGCATTACGAGGGTGACATTCCATAATGGCTTGGTTATTCAGACAGGTCTTTTTAGGTAAGTTTCCTCAACACTCTCAAGGTTGCTGGCCAGGCCGGAAAATAAAAGCTGACAAAGACAGATTAACAAGAGAAAAACATACAAATGTATTTAATAAAACTTTGCATAATCCAGAGTGTTCAGAAGTGAATATTCCCCCAAACCTGGGAAAAGGCTCTTTATGTCCAATGGAAAGGAGATAGTCATGTGGAAATGTGATTGAAGGTAAGATTTAATGGAAATCAACTAAGAGGGCCTAGGCCTGTGTGTTCAGGTGCTCCTTGCTCTCTGGGTGGTGTTCCTTTTGGGCAGAGGACAAGGCTCCTCAGGGAGGAGGATGTCATGACCTATCAGACATGCAGGCTTGCTGGGGAATACTCCCTTTGTACATTGTGAAGATGTGCCACTGTGATTGGTTTAGTAAAGAAGCTGACTGGCCAATGGCTGAACAGGATAAGGTTAGGCAGGAAAGCCACACTGAGATGATGAGAGGAAGAAGGGCAGAGTCCGGAGTCACCAGCAGGTGGCAGAAAGAAGCAAGTGGGCATGCCATACTGAGACAAGTTACCAAGCCATGTGGGAAAACACAGATAAGAAATATGGGTTGATGTAAGAGTTAGGTAGTAACAAGCCTAAGTTACTTAATTATAAGTCAAGTACTTATAATTAATATAAGCCTCAGTGTGTTTATTTGGGAGTTGTTGGTCTATTGGAAACTTCCACTATTGACTTCCTTTAGAACCAGCTCCTAACAGAAAGCCGTAGGAAGGTTAGAATGATGTTTCTAGGTGTTATTACTGCCTTTTCTTCCCCATCATCTCTGTGATTCATCATGGAGAAAAGAAGTTCTTCCTGTGGTCTACTTTGAGAGAGGAAGTGAACAGGGGCAAACAGGGCAGGTAGAAGTCAAAGAATTCACTTCCAGGGTCTTCCTAATTTTCTTAAGCTCAAAGTATCGCCATGGGATGGTGCCATGTCATTAGAGGGCCCTGACAAGAACTCTAAATCACAATACCTGGCCCAAATTGCTTTTGAATTGTGTTTTGCAGGTACTCTGATGGATACTCTCTATAAGTACAAAGCAGGGAGGGGCCTGGTAAGGCTTTGGCGTCTGTCCCTTGGATGAATTCAGAATAGAACTAGAAATAAAGTTAAAAGGAAGCTGTCTCCAAGGTTCCCAAGTCCTCAAGTTCTCAAAGTCTGGAGCAAAACACGATCAAAGAAGACATACCATCTAAAAAAGCTTATTTTATGGAAGAAGAAATCTGCTTTCCTCTGTTCGTGCTCCATCTTGCGGAGAGGACATCCTATCGTGGGAGCCTGGGGAAGGGGTAAGCTGTGGCTTATCTTTTAGAACAGCCCTCTGTGCTCTACACTCATCCGACTTCCCAGCCTTCCCTTGCCTACAGCCAGGCTAGTTTAAAAGACCTAGTTCCCACTGAAGGAAAAGAACGTGGGGTGGGCTCCCTGGGCTGTTCGGGTGCACAGTGCAGCTGCCCAGCTCCTCTGGGATATTTGTGCATGACTCTGCTCGGATGTAGATGGAGGTGCCCAGATGACCTTCCCAAAATGCTGGTTACACTGAGGGCCAGGATTTAGCAATCAATCAAATCAAAGAAAGTAAACCCTCTTTAAAAGGTAGAGGAGGAGGAGGAACAAGCCTGGCCCAGCCGGGGGATTGAGAAGCTGATGAAGCTAGTCATTTCATTTGAGTCTGTGTCTCTCTTGTTACCTTGAGCTTTCTAGAAAACAATTATGTTGGAGAATTTCATTAATTTTATGTCCATGGGTAATTCACTGACTCTAATTGGCTTTGAGAGTTGGCAATCGCAGCCTCTGTGGGCGAGCACACAAATGAAAAAGGCCCTTTCCCAGTGTGCGGAGATGTAACTGGATGCGCATTCCCATTTTTAATAACCCCCAGAACACTTGGAGGGCACAGCTACTGAAACTAGTTACAAGGCGGAGCAGCGCCCGTGTATGAATGCGGCACCAGGGTGTTGACAAATGGGGACATCACATTTGCCCAGAAATAACAAAAACCATTCTAGAACTAATAGCTGGTAACTGCCAAGAGCCAGTTACCACTTTGAAGATTTTGTTTATCATTGACCCCTGCAAACATAGGTGTTGTGTCAACTGTAGCTTGCACAGATGGAAACAAGGGCAAGGAGATTGGAAGATTTAACCAAGTGCACATAGCCAATGTACGGTAAGGACGACTAAGGGAGAGCTTCCAGGTCCACCCCCCCCCAATTCTCCAAAATGCTAGGTCATCAGACTTGTTGGTTTCTTGCCCACTATCCCACGATTTCTTCCTTTCCCCGACACACCTCACTTACTAGTTTCAAGCACAGAAACTTCCATTCGCAAGCCAAAGATCTTCGGCTGTGAGCAGTTCCCTATGGTTCAACCCAACAGTCCATAATCTGGGCTTATCATCAATTCATTAAGTTAATGAGGACAGCCAGCATTCTATTTACCTGGTCATAATCACCTGGATGAGGATGGTATTGAACCAGTGATCCAATCAGGATGAATGTCAGGACAGACAGACTTATCATAGCCTCTAGGAAACTGGTAGCTGTATCTATAATGACTTAGAAATGGACTCTGTTTAGGGAGATTTTTTTCTTTACACCCACCATAACCAAGACAGTCGTAATGCATGGAGCCGAAACTAAGGATGAACCACACCTGGTCATTGGTCTCTGCATTTTCACTTAGAAGAGCCAATACATCTTCTTTGGGATTTAAGTTAAGGGTGTTGGGTTTGTCTTTGTTCTCAACCAACAGCAGACATTCCTGAGAGGAGAAAGGAAAGGGGTTTTCAAGACATGAGCACTAGAGAATGCCAAAATGGCCTTTAGATTTAAGACCTTTCCTTTTCAGCCCATTGCTGTGCAATGCGAAGACTATTGGCGTTCTCTCTTTTCCCTCCGCCCATGCTGTCTCTAAAGGGACGCGTGTATGACGGAGAAAGCACAAGAAAATGTGCTGTTTTCATCAGCCACCTTATAAAGTGTCATAGTGGAGGCGAGACAAGAGGGGGGTGAGCCACACGAGACACGGAGCAGTGACGCTTTGCTACGGAAGTCGATTTATTCCGGCCCAGCAGAAAGTGAGGCGCTGAAGGCATCGCATTGCTCTTTGTTATGGCTTCATCCTGAAGTTTATAGATTTTTTTCCCCTCGATGTAGAATTTCTCCATTTGCAATTGGCAACCGCTTCAATTTTCCTCCAGATTACAGGATACACAGAAGATTAATTAAGAACAGCCGCACCCAGCCCATTATCTGCCCCATCGTCCCCATTCCTTCCTAACGGAATCCTGGGTTTGTGCAGAGACCCACAATAGCCATCAGTAAGAATGTTTTCCAGTTCTTGGTGCAGAGCACACCCTGGGCAGGGCCTTTATGTGCACTCGAGGAAGTCAAGCCAGTTTCCAAAATGGAAATGGTTGTCCGATAGCTTAAAGGCGTTGTTTTGGTGGTAGATGAGGAGTGCTCTGTCGAGGAATATAGAGGTTGTGTGTTTTGGTGCTTACACTGTAGTGTTCTTTGATCACACAGGATTTAATTACAGGCTCAAGGACTTTAGGCTATGAAGGAGAGTCTTTCAATGGTGTTTCACTGAAAGGGCGTTAGAAACCACATGTCATTCAAAATGGGGCTGGTTCCCAGAGAGTAATTTTGTTCTAGTCATGGGTAGGGATGGGAATTATGTGGGGGGAGGAGCTCCTGGAATTTATCAGCCTAAACTCATTCCAGTCAACCAGAGCCCCAAAGACCAAAGGTTTAAGCTGGGCAGCAAAGAGGCTGAGTCTGAGGAGATAATGAATCCCCGTGATTGCAGTAGGCTCCCCTCCATCTCCCAAAGTCCAGACCATCTTGTGAGTCCGATAGTAGCAACATTTAATTTCGGGTAAGGAAATTCACCAGCTTCCCTGTCTCTTCAGCTATCAGAAATCCTCTCTCAGGACTAGCGAGGTTGAGACATTATAATCACTTTTAGATAGGAGGACAAAATGAGACCCAAGCAGGAGTCTTGGGCAGTCTGAGGAAGAAACCAGCTCTTAACTCTGGCATTGTGAGATGGTTACATACAGGATAGAAGTTCTCAACCTATGGGTCAAGACCCCCAGAGGGATCTCATATAGGACATTTACATTATGATTCATAACAGTAGCAAGATTGCAGTTATAAAGTAACAACAAAATAAGTTTCTGGTTGGGGGGTCAGCACAACATGAGGAACGGTGTGCGTGAGAGGATCGCAGTGTTAAGAGGGTTGAGAACCGCTGATAAGGAGCATGAAGGCCTGGAGGTGAACATAGCTAGGATGCTGCTGTACAGGGCCCTCCTTTCAGGATGAAGTGCCCCTCCCCCAGCCATCTTTCTACACACTCGTGGAGAAGCAACATCTAGGGAAGCATTTGACGGTACACACCAATTCAACTTTCTGTCTAAGACCACACAAAAGATGGGTCTGAGAAAACCCCACCCCGCTGCTCTTGAAGATGGTGGGAAGTGGTTAGAAGTCCCCCAACATTTGGGAAACATGTTTACTTCCATAAATTCTTTAGACTTGGGGAAAATAGTCACTCTGATTTTATGTCCTGGACAGCTAGGAAAGTGAGAAAATAAAATGAAAATTGCAGTGTTGTTATGGAAACCAGAGCCATTACAGCCAGGTGAGTGCGCAGCTCACCATTCAGTCCTCGTAACCAGGTGACAGGACAAGGGACACGGATAGCATTTGGTGTCGCCACACTTTAGTGATATTTATGTGTTGATGTGGCATAAAGCTCCTGAAGACAAGGCGTTTGGCAGGCCCTTCTAGGTTACTGTGCATGACGGACACCTTGTGAAAGAAAACGCTGAGGTCACAGCAGCTCAAGCCGCCAGGAAGCCAGCCCGCCACTGTTACGACCACGCCAGTGACAAACTAGGTTTTCACTGAGGTCACCCCAAGCCTGGGTTTATGTGAGAACTTGATGTTCATGGTCTTACTTAGTTTTCACGATTGCACTGTGGGGTAGACATTATTATCTCTATTTTCCAGATAACTTTAGTGACTTTCCCACAGCACAAACCGATAAGAGGCAGGGCGAGAAGACCAAACGTGGGTCACCATGACCCTTTACCGATTCTGACGCTCTCCTCTCAATAGGCTGGTTGAGAAGCCTTCAGGACCCCTGAACCATTTTAGCCTCTCCTGGCTCAAAGCCAAGTTGGCTTGTGGTATATCATGCCCACGTGAACTAGCAGAAGGGAGTCTGCTGAAGGCACTCAAGGTGAATGAGGCCCGGTACTGCAACAAAGCCCCGCTGGGTCCAGAGCCTCCGCGTGTCTGCGCCCTCTCTTTTCCCACCATTCTTTTGGACGGAGGGTCCAAGCGACCAGGCAGGCAGACACATCAGCCTGTGGGAGTGAGGTGTCCTTCTCTCTAGGACAGGGTGGAATATCTGAGCGCCATTTCCAGCTTGGGCTCTGCACCTTCCCCCGCAGCTTTTGTTTTCCATCCCATAATCAGTCACCCTGGCCCGACCAAGTGGTTCAAGCTAGACTGGAGTGTGCTCCCGAGATAAGCAATCGCTATGAGACCTCGCCCCCCCCCCCGAAGGTTCCTCCTCCCTTCTTCCACTCTAGGATGGATTCATCTTGAGTTGCAAGATAGGAAGAGGTGGGAGTCAAGAGAAAATTTATAGGCCCGCTTCCCAAGGCAATTGCCCGTGTTTAGCTATAAATATTTTCAGAAGAGATAAAAGCAGTCACTCTCTCGCTGTGGGCCCTGCACACACTGCCCCAGAAGCAGAGAAATGGAGCCAAGAAGGGAGTGTGGGCACAGCAGTCCGACCCCGCAGCGCTATGTTCCCTGGGAAGCTGAAGGAAGGAGGGAGGCCGAGAGGGAGTGAAGGCTGCTGTTTGGAAGTACAGAGTGCTCTGACACCCACTCTCCCAATTTGTTCTTAATCTCCCTAGGTATGTGAGTTCTTCCCTTGCCAGGCCATTTGACAATAGCACGTTTCCATTTCCTCCCTATCATCCAAAAGCAGGGAGCTAGCTACAAAGGGAAAGGCATTCTGGGAGCCCACGAAATGTTTTTATTGAAACCCAGTCCTCCAGAGAGAGATTGAGGAAGTGATTTAAGCAAACTTATTACAAAATAAAAATGTATCCTCTGACTCTACGACAGGAAATTTGAGAAAGAGAGACAAGCTTATAAAAAGGCGCACGTGCACACACACACACACACACACACACACACACACACACACACACACACAGGAGTGTGTGCGTTCAAAAGGACTGGAAGAAAGAAGAGATGCTAAATCACTTTGTGCAGAAGAGGCAAACCCAGCAGGAAGCTCAGAAAGGAGTCTCAATGCCCTCTGAGTAATATTGTCTTCTTCCAAATATCATGCATTCTATTGCAAAAATTCTAATTAAAAAAGATCCATCAGGCTATGGAAAACAGCTGGAATCCCTTATCATTCACGCCATGGTTTGGAAGAACCTCCCTGAATTCCTATTATTAACAGTGCTGGGGGGATCTACCAGCGAGGACCCAGGTGTCCATGTTTTGTCCGCATGACACAAGCCTATAATAATTTAAGGGCCTCTAAGTAGCCCTGCTCACTAATGAAGCTGGTTAGGAAACGAACATGATTTCATAGAACTGTATTTCCAGACTCGCTTTCCACTGGCCCCTTCACCCCCATTGGACTGAATAGCGTGTTCAATTAAAGGGCACAGGACATGCTCAGCTGGGCTGTAGGAAACCTCCCCACCCCACCTCTGCCTGGCTTTGCAATCAGCCATTCATGGCTAATCTTTTAGTAAGTCAAGTGGGATTTTAGAACTCAGGATCTGGTGAACCCCCTCCCAGGATACCTACTTCTTATATTTTCACATGCATTGTCTTGGACTTCTGCTACAGAGAAGGGCAAGCCTTTCATCCAAGGGCCCATTCATTCTCCAGCAGTGAGCCCCCCCCCCCATTGGGTTATTCTTTCTTCTTCAGGGACAACTGCTCCCTGTAATGAGGGAAAGAAAGCCAAGGATGCACTCAAGAGCCAGGCCTCTGCCTGCCCACCTGTTGGAAATGGAAGCTGTGTGTGACGGCTATTCTTGGTTGTCAACTTGACTACATCTGGAACGAACTATTACTCAGACATGGAGGGCACACTTGTGATCCAGTTCTTGCGACAAGAAGACAACGCACATGCCTTTGATCTGGATCTAGAGGCTGGAAGGCACACCTTCAATCTGAGCCACACCTTCAGCTGGAAGCCTATGGAAGCACAATGGAAGATGGAAGGGTCCATTCTTTACCTGCCTGCCCTCACCTTGTCAGCACATCCACTGGCATTGGAGCCTACTTCTTCAGAATCCCAGCAGGTACTGAAGACCAGCTGAGACACCCAGTCTCATGGGACTGAGCAGCTACTGGATTCTTGGACTTTCCATTCACAACTGGCCGTTGCTGGACTACAGCCTGTAAGTCATCCCGATGACTTACAAATTCTCATATCTATCTATCTATCTATCTATCTATCTATCTATCTATCTATCATCTACCTATCTATCTAGATTTATTCCATAAGTTCTGCAACTCTAAAGAACCTTGACTAATACACTGTGTCTATTGGTTTCAAATAATATAGTCCGTTAGTGCTAGTCATGGGGTCAGAAAAGCACATAGCTTGTCCATTGCTGTGTGGGTTGAGTACAAGCAAGGAGGACCGTGAGATGAGACAAGTAGATTGGAGTGGGAGAAGCTAAGGCTCAGGGAATAGCATAGGGGTTTCCTTTGTGGGAGGAGGTGGCCAAAATTGCCTTAGTATGGCCTATAGTGAAGATGACAAGTCGCAGCTACTTAAGGTCTGGTCTTACTATTCCTAACCTCTAGGAGTTCCAATGCAGCTCTCCCCAAACAGGCCTGCAGACATGCAACTCTCTGCTGGTACCCATCCTATTTAGGTACAGGAAACATGCTCTACATGAATAGCTCAAATCTCAAAGTGCATGATGGAACAGGTAGAAAATTAGATCAAGGCTTCAACATTCAAAACATTTGTGTGGTCTTATACATCTTAAAAGCTGCTTCAGAGAGAAATGGCCCAATTTCTCTCTTACGCAGCTTTTAAGATGTATAAGACCACATAAAAATCAAGGTAGCAAGCAATATTATTTCTCCAGGTGTGTTTGAGTCAGGAAGATACCAATTAAAAAAAAACAAAAACAAAAAAACATAAAAGCCACTGCCTCAATAAATGTATCTACTTTCCTAATAAGGCACCGAGCCACTATTGTGCTGCCCAGCCAGTGGACAAACATCTTGCTGAGACATGTGCATTCAAAGTCAGGATATTGTCTCGGAAACTTGAGCCTGCAGCCCTCGCAGAAGCAAGAATCATTGCATAATCTCTTCCAGAAGAATAGAAACCCAGGCTTCAGGCAGCAGCACAGTCCCTGAAGGACACACCAGCATTGATTTTTTCCATGCGGTGCTTTGCTCTCGGTGCACGGATGTTTTGAATGATAGCTGACAGTCTTTTCATGTCCCTTCGTTTACTGTGCCCCCAGAGACAGTCAAAGCCTCCAGGCCACACTGCAATAAAAACTTACCAAGCTGGAAGGATACAGCTCGAGAAACTTCCCAGACAACCGGGGAAGTTCTGCTGACGGCACTAAAATCCAGGATCTTCATATAGCATCTCAGGCAGGTGTGTTTATCCAGCAGAGCGGAAGCCGGAAACGTGTCCTCTGAGGAGGGCCATCGCTGCTTCCTGTGGGCTGAAGACTTTGTGTGTTTTCCTGCCTCTTGACCTTGAACCCTGACTTTCCACTTCTGGATCTGCAATTAGATTGGATTCTGGGGCTTTGTTTGGATTGTGGGGTGACGTCCCTTAGGAGCCTTTGTATTGTTGCAGGCCAAAGATGAATCCTCCCGGCAGGACGGGTGGGGGTTGCTTTGTGAACTGTGATCTAAAACAGTCATACCTCAGTCCCAGATCTGCAAGCACAAGGCATATCTTTATATATTCAAATATGCATATGTGTATGTATTCATATATATATATTCATACAAATGTATTTGTAACAAAATAATGATTTTGCACCAAAATACACATAGGCCCAATGTGAAGGTAGTAGCCCAGGCCTTCTTCCAGGAAAATTTTCACCCTGCTAAGGAGATCCCAATTATTTTTACAAATTTTTGAATTGGTGTAGCCCAGGAGATCCCCCAGTTACACTGTTTTCAAATGTTCTCAAAACTCCTATTATCAGAACTACCTGCCCCCCACCCCACTCCCTGGTGTTGGAAATTATAGAACCCCAGAGACCTTGTGCATGCATGTTCTTCATCTCTCACGTCTGCATCTGGGATTGTTGACATCAGCCTCAGAGTGAACAGCTGTCACAGAAGGCTAGAGCATTCGCACTCGGAGCTAGTTCCTAGATACACCAATATACCTCAGTCTGCTCGGTTTTTATAAGAAAGTGCCCATTGGCTGAGAGCTTCTTAACGACAGATATTTCTATCGTATACTGTCAATGATAACAGTGTTGAGTGATTGGATGTCCTTGATATGGCCTCAGGAGGCAGAAGAGATGAGTAACTCTCTGAAGTCCCTGTTAGGACCCAAATGGCTCCCATAGCCCCACTGTCTAGTATCATCATGTTGGGGTGGGGAGTGAGTGGTTCAAAGCTATGTACCATTTTGACCACAGCACACCAGAATTCATGACCTTCCCATGACCTCAAAATGCTAATTATATAGACAGAGGATAGAGATGATTAGTCAAGACAAAGTCAAGCTGCCATGGCGTGATCCTCTTAACCCAGTTTGACTAACACCTTTGGAGCAGTTAGTAGGAAGAGGTACTCTGAAGCAGAGACACAGCGTGGAATGCCATGTGGGGACAGAGGCAGTGATTGGGGTGGAGTCTATAAACCCAGGGCACAGCAATAATTACTGGCAACAATACAAATTAAGAAAAAGGGGTGGGGTTTCTTCAGAGTGTCTTCAGAGAGCCTGCCTCCACTGACAGCCTAATGTTAGACTTTTCACTTCCAACTCTATGTAAGTATAAATTCCTTTTTGTCTTAAGCACCAGTTTAAAACAATTCATTAGGTCAGTGCTAGGAAAGGCACTCAATGGTCTGGTAGAGAACCACAGATCAAAGTTAATTGGCCCACCTCTTTCTTGGACTCCTAATTTTTCTTATAATGCCTATGATACATTTTCTTTCCTGGAGTAATTCTTATTCTGTCTACTTGTGTCTGCCAGCACCTGCTTAACTCCGGAAGAAGAATTTTCACTAGCTCCTGGTTCTTTAGTGGTTCCCTGGTTCTTGCTGCTGATCCTTTTATCCCTATATAATCCTAGGAGCTCCTGTATGCTATCCTGTGGCAAATGAGAGTCTCTGATCACCCTCTTGCTGCCATCATCCCGATAGAACGTTGTCACTTCCTGTGGTTGGAGGTTCACACTTGCTCACAAAGGCTGGAAACGTAGGTAGCACAAAAGCTTTGCAAGAGACCTCAGGGAGCTGAAGAGATGGGATGGGAACAAGGGGCTTGGGGCTCTGGGAAGACAAGCATTAAGGGGGATTTATCTGCTTCAAATATATGAAGTGTCACTGTGTGTCTGATGCAGGCTGCCTGTTTCCCATCACATCTGAAAGTTTGTCAGAGAGGCAGACTCAGGGAGGAGAACTCTGAATGGCCAGAAAGACTTTTCTGAGATAGGTTTTTGGTCACTGTGATGCCAAAGGGGAAGTTTAAGTACAAGCAGACATACTGTCATTCATTTTTATTTAGGCAGAGCCCTTCCTGGAACCAAAGGAAGGAAAGAGATGTATTTTGGAAGTATCTTCTGCTCTTTGAGTTAGTAAACTTAAAAAATAATCAAAGATGTCTATTCACTTAAGGTTAATATCTGCTCCGAGGGCTGAAACATGTCTTTGTTGGTGCAGTTGTGTTCCTAGGCAGGACATATGCCTCTACTTTGTCTTACACTTTTTAAATATATATGTGTGTGTGTGTGTGTGTGTGTGTGTATTTTTATCTTATGTGTCTAGGTCTTTTACCTGTGGATCACATGCATTTTGTGTCTTTGGAGGCCAGAAGGGGCCTTGCATCTTCTGGGATTGGAGTTACTGATGGATGTACTAGACCATGTCAGTACTAGGAACTGAACTCAGATTCCTGGCCAGAGCGACAGGTGCTCTTAGCTGTTGAGCTCTCTCTCTAACCCTTGTCTTTTCTATTTTAAATGGAGAACCTGGGAGATACTGCTTTGTATTATGGAGTTGATTCTTCAGCTACTATGGCAGTTTGACTGGCGCTATTGGGAGGTGTGGCCTTGTTGGAAGATGTGTGTCACTATGGGGGCGGAGTTTGAGGTTTCCTATGCTCAGGATACTGCCCAGTGTCTCAGTCAACTTCCCGTTGCCTGTGGATCAGGATGTAGAGCTCTCAGTTCCTTCTTTAGTACCATGTCTGCCTGCGCGCTGCCATGTCTCACCATGACGATAATGGCCTAAACCTCTGAAACTGTAATTCACCCAACGAAATGTTTTCCATTATAAAAGTTGCCATGAGCATGGTGTCTCTCCACAGACATAGGAACCCTAACTAAGACACTGACTCTGGCGCTCTCCAGTCTTGTCAAGTCTGGTTTATCCACCCACTGAAGAAGTTCATCTTTGCTTTCTTCTTGTTGTATGCAACAGTATCTCTAACCAAGCGACTTCAAACAGCACTTATCTGTTGAGTCAATAGCGTAGGTCAGGAGCCTGCCTGTACCTGACTCAGTTGGCTCCTGCCCCCAGGGTCTCATAAGGCTGCCATCAGAGCGCAGGTGGCCTGTCCCTTTCTAGAGTTTGGAATGTTCTGCCAAGTTGGCATGAGTTACTTAGCTTCTGCTTCTTTTATTTGCCAGGCTGAGAACCCTGCTTCACCACCACCGGCTATCAGCTAGGGGCTACCCTTAGCATCTTTAAGGGCCCCAAGTCTCACTCCCTCAACAGCATGCCAGTTAATGTCTTTAGGGCAGGTAGAAGGTCTCTCAGTCTGTACCAAGGTCATGCTGACCATGCCCTCTACCAGCTAGAATTAAAGAAGAGAACCACATTGGGTGTGGGGTCACTTTAGGACCCCACTAACTTCATTGCATTTAGGAAGGGGCTCTTTCCTCTTGCTCCTCTCCATGGCCCCACTGCAGGTGTGGTCTGAGCTTTTTTTGACATTAACCTGATGGAGTAAATGTAGAAATTAAGTTCAAAACGGAGAAGAGAAACTATGAATGATCCCGGTTTTATACACCAGTTGTCCTCTATGTTCAATTGCTAGAATTTAAGTTTATTAATGAAGAATACACTATTAAACTTAGTGATCCTCCCCACCCTCCTCCTTTTTTTTTTTTTTTTTTTTTTTTTGGCTAGGCTGTGCCACACAGAAGGCTGACCTGGGACCAGCCTGCCTAGGTTTAGATATTGATTTCAGTGATAACTCTGCAGTCTTGAGAAATGGTTTAACCTTTCTGTGCTCAGTTCTCCTCCTCTGTAAGCCATGGGAATTCTGCACTTACCTCCTCAAGTGGTGATAGGATGAAGTAGTTGCAAGCAGAAGCACTTA